AGATGCCCAGGACCCCAGTTAGGCTTCTGGGGCCAGCCAAGGTGCTGGCCCCAGCCTCCCCTACCCAACCCAGGGCAACATGCCATGTGCCAGAGCACACATGCACATGTGTTCCCCGGGGACAAGTAGCAGCGGTGCATTTTGTGCCTCTGCTGTTTGTCCCTGGGGACACACACATACCTACACATCTGGATCTGGCCTGGAGGGACAGAACTATTCAGGGTTGATGGTTCCATCAGAGCTTCTCAGGTATAGACCACTAGGTATCAAGTTCTTGTTACAAAATGAATGAATGGTCAAAGCCATGCTAAAAGTTATGCTCCAAATGGAGGTAGAAATGTGAAATCAGAAAAAACATACTTCATACATGAACATAGACATAGCGCCAAATTTCTCTCTTTTAAATTTTTTCTCACTATTATTTTAAAATGTACGTTACTTAATATGAACAATAAAACCTTTTTTCTTCCTCTGATGGAGCTCTCAGTCCTCTATCATTATGAGATATTTAAAAGCATTCTCTCTCATTCTGAACTATTATATATCCCCCAAAGAACTGCCGTTTTCCCCTCAACACTTTTTCCTTCTGTTCTAACAGAAGGATATAGCTTGCACTGATGACTTTTATTTAACTGTATTAATATAAATCTGATTAAGGCAGTCTAAACATAATTGGGAGTCAGGTGGTTTTTTTAATTAATAATGCTAGTTAGTCTCTAAAGTGCCACCTTGCCTACCTTCTACCTGACTTCAGATTAACACAGCTAACAACCTTTCATAGAAGCATAGAAAATTAGGGTTGGAAGGGACCTCAGGAGGTCATCTAGCCCAACCCCCTGCTCAAAGCAGGACCATCCCCAACTAGATCATTCCAGCCAAGGGTTTGTCTAGCTGGGTCTAAAAAACCTCCATGGACAGAGATTCCACAACTTCTCTGGGTAAACTCTTTCAGTGTTTTACTACCCTCCTAGTGAGAAAGTTTTTCCTAATATCTAACCTAAATTTCCCTTGCTGCAACTTGAGACCATTGCTTCTTGTTCTGTCATCTGCCACCACTGAGAACAGTCTAGCTCCATCCTCTTTGGAACCACCCTTCAGGTAGTTGAAGGCTGCCATTAAATCCCCTTTCAACCTTCTCTTCTCTAGACTAAATACGCCCAGTTTCTTCAGCCTCTGCTCATAAGTCATGTGTCCCAAACCCTGAACCATTTTTGTTGTGCTCTGCTGGACTCTCCAATTTATCCACATCCTTTCTGTTATGGAGGGCCCAAAACTGGACGCAGTACTCCAGATGTAGTCTCACCAATGCTGAACAGAGGGCAGTAATCACTTCCCTTGATCTGCTGGCAACACTCCTACCAATACAGCCCAGCATTGTACATTTACATTTAAAGATAATTTGGGGCAGATTTTTCCCTAATGATCCAGAAATTCTGGAGGGAGTCATTCTCATCTCAATAATGAGATGGAAGGTATAAACAAACCACAAGTCTAAAGGGTAATATTATTGACAAACAAAGATATACAGTTAATATAGAATATCTAAATCCATATTTAGTTCTTTCCAGATGTATATAGCTATATCCTGGAAAGTTATAAAGTTAGCCAGTTGTTGAATGAGCTTTTAGCAAATAAGGTGAAAATCATGACATGTAGATGGTCAGCTCAACACTGAAGCACCACTTCAGTGCCACTTAAACACAGAAAAAAAGGGAGTTAGTAGAATATAAGTGTTTCAGAGTGTTGATGCTTGTGCTCTGCCCCTGGGTAGATTTAATCCTCAGTAATAAGGAGATTTAGAAAATAGAGTGGGGACAGAGGAGGAATTGTAATGATAAACACAGTCCCTTTGAAGAGACACCTGGGTCACTTTTAATAATGCATCCATCACATTTTCAGCTTTCTTACTCCCTGATCTTCCATGACCAAAATCATCCCTAGTCATGGGGCACATCATGCACCCACAGGGACAAAGAGACCAGAAGGTATTAACATTTGTGCCAGGGGATCAGCTTTAAACTCTAACTGAAATCAGCCCAGACTCCTGGTAACTTTGCCCACCCTTTTTGCAATTAGCCCCATTAGCCCAATGTGTGGCTCATCAGCTTTACTTAATTTTGTTAAGCAAACTCTATAATTTGGTGCTGTCACTAGGTAGCATAAAATATGTTAAGTTTCTGTGATCTTTTAAACTAGGTATTAATGAGGAGCTAATGTAAATTGAACCCATAAGTAGAATCCATAAGTTCCCATTACATCTGTATGCGCTGTTCCCTCTCAGATTTGTTCACATATGCTTCTATCTCTGCTTGCTTTCTGCTTCTTGGCCCCCTCTACACATTACATGTATTACACAATTACTTGGTTAATTGTGCAATTAATTTAGACTGGCTACACATACAAATTAACTATGATGCCTTAAAAATGTCCAACCAGCTATCAAGTTATTGCTGGAAAATGTATAACTGTATAGCTCATTTCTATCCAGCTTGAATTTGCATGGGTAGCCTGTGCCCCATAGCTAGGAGTCCTGTCAGCTGATCAGAGCTCCCAGCTGGGGGAAAGGGGGGCATGTGCACCTCTGAGCTCCCAAGTGATGCTGGCTCCCAGCCACAGTAGCACATGCCCCTGCAGCTGGGAGCCTCATCAGCCTACAAGGTGCCCAGCCACAGGGTACCCCATGCACGAATCCGGCCGGGAGACCATAGAAGCTGCAGTTTCCTAGCTGTGGGGATGCATGGGGCACCCCTGCAGTTGGAGATTGCTTCAGCTGTGGTCTCCCAGCTGCAGGGGTGTGTGGGGCACCCCTGTGGCTGGGAGCCCTGTCAGCTGAGGGGAACACCAGCTGTGGGAACTTGCTTATTGTCAGTGCAGAGGGAGCCCAGGATGGTTCTCCCCTGACTCCAGCAATAAGGCATTATGGGATCTGATTCGTGATCCCATAATCATGGTTCCTGCTGTGCGCATGTGGCATGGCAGGAGGCATGATTGTATGGATTGCAGATTAGACCCCATCATGTCTTTACCTGCACATGTAGAGAGGCCCTTGCATACAGCTACAACTAGTCAATCCCCTGATCTAGGCAATTGTAACTAATCCTAGGGAAACCCTTCTTTTCTTCTGGCTTAGTTCTTGCTCAGGCCTTAGTGTATAGCCAAGATAACGTTGGGCAGCAACCACTGTTTCCAGCATCACAACACAAGGCGGTATTTAACACCGCCTTCCATTTGGTTTGGAAGAAGCGTGATTAGCATGCCCATTGTTGTTAGTCATATCTGTAATTGTAGATCAAATATCTCTGTATTAGCAATCTAAGTTCTTGGATAACAATGATCTTTACTCTCTTTCTTTTCATTATGTTATCAGCTCTTACTGCTTTCCCAACAGAGACATTTGGGAGCACCATGGTACAAAAACAAATATGAGAATTCTGAAAACATGGTCTCTGCTGATTCGGTGGAGTTCAAAAAGGTAAACATAGTTGAATTTAGTCTATGTATTGACATAAAAAGCAAATGGTTTCCCATTGCTGATATATTTCCAAATGTGAACAGTTTAAATATTTTCATGGCCCTCAAGAAATCATTCCAGCCCCTGGAACCAAGGTATAGGGAGATGCTGCTCAGGGCCCCTTTTCAATGGACATGCCCTGAGAGCCGTGGTCTAGAACGGGGCGGGCAATTATTTTGGGCGGAGGGCCACTTACTGAGTTTTGGCAAGCCATGGAGGGCTACACGATAGGCAGCCAGGGGCAGATAAATATTAATTTTCTAAATTTTTTAGGGGCCCCATGGACTGGATAGAATGGCTTGGCAGGCCGCATCCGGCCTCCGGGCCGCATTTTGCCCACCCCTGGTCTAGAAGCTTGCTGCAGTGGTTCTATACTCTTCAGAGATTCCAGAGCTATGGGAATTCTTCTGGAACCAGACAGTTAAGCAGATTTAAGAGGAATTTTATACCACTGGACCATGGCCAAAGATCTGATTCAAAACATTTTATTCTGTTTTTCAGTCATGTAAGCATAATTACAGTAATGGTAATGTTCAGCTATGTGCTGTTAAAATAATCCTGTAATAGAACACATGTGAGCATCCCTCACTGTCCCTCAATTACTCTCGTTACATACTGCATCATAGTTTGCAGGACTTAAAAACTGGATGCAGACACTTTAGGGGCGGATCATATAGAGAGGTCCATGGCCAAGATTAGTCTTGTAAACCCTGTGTGCTATTTTGACATCTCCAACACCACTATTTTGCATACTGTATGTTTTCCTTGAATATACAATAAAGTTGTTCCTTTAGAAGGTACTAGATGAAATTCATCTCTGATGTAATGCTGTTGGTTTTGGATGGGGAAAAATATTCACTTTTCTAATGAGCCAATGAGCAGTTTTTCACTGTTTGGGTGCATGATGGTAAAATTTTCTCCTTCTAGATCCTGTTTCATACAACACACTTACTTCATCCTTACTGCTCTCTGTACTTTCATTTTTCTCTAAGCTGAAGCACATTAAGGAGTTTTTCTTCTCACAGACTTCAATTGATATGAAATGTATTTGTATAAGAGAAAATGCTGTTTTTTTAAATGGAGACTCTTGCTTCACTATTGACTTCCCTTACCCAAAGGGAGTTAATACTACTGTACTTCACATCAAAGAAAATCCTGTATAAATCATCTGATGGGGCTAGACACTTACCATTGGTGGCACTGTAGAAAGAAAGTGTGTTACGGCATATATCCTGGAGAATACCATTCAGATCCCTCTATCTGATAAATGCATGTATTTATCACTAATCTGACAGAAAATAGTAAGGTTTCCAGCCCAAGCAAACCACTCTGTCCTGGGGGAGAGTGGGGGAAAGAACCCCAAACAATAAACGGGGACCCTCTGAGACAGGAACCATGCATAAAAAGAGAAACGAACACAAAAATAACTCAAGAAAAATATTTAACGGCAGCAGGACCCGCGGTGCAGCCAGAGCGAGGAAGGAAATCCATGCGGGTTGTAAGCCGCACCTTTATACAACTGAAGCCGGCCAGTGATGTCATCAGCAATCACCGGCCAGTGGGGATAAAATGGACCACTGGGGAAGATGGCGAGGGAAGGAGAGCGGAGCCGGAGGAGACGCTGACGCCGGACACCATCCAGAATACTCCCAGGGAGGGAGAGCCGGCAGGGGTTCTCTGCACTAGCAGAGGACAGCATGGCGAGGAGGCAGAAGAGCCAGAAGAGGCTCGCTGTGTTGGCAAAGGCAGGAACGCCAGAGGGATGGGAGAGCCAGAAGAGGCTCTCTACGCCCTTGAAGGTGGGAGCATCGGGGGAACCTGGGAGGCAGAGGAGGCTCTCCCTCTGGGGCAGACCAGACAGGAGCAGTGAGAGGGACTGCAAAGCAAGACAATGAGAGGCTGGGTGCCAGCCCTCAGCACAAGAAGCAGCCAGGCTCTTGGGGACGTACTGTGAGGCACTGGAAGAAGGACGTCTCCAACAGAGAAGGGGAGAAGGGCCACAAACTACGCGTGGCAGAGTGAGGGGGGAGACAACCCGGGGCGAGGGGCCACGGTCTACCCCGGCCACACATTGGGCCAAACCCCAGAGGGATCATAGAGACCAAGGGCACACCGTCACCCTAGTAGAAGGGCTGGGGAAGGAACCGTATGGGCCCTTCTCGATTTATTTGTGTTGGTTTTTCTTTCTTTTCCTCCTTTTTGGAGGGGTTGAGGAGTAGGGTGAAGCGGTGCAGACAGGATAACTGTATCAGAGTTACTTTTGCCTTCCATCTTTATTTTGTGGGCACAGGCTAGGTTCTGAGACCCGGGCGTAGGCTGCCTCAGGACAGGAGTGAATGATCTCGGGGGGCTTAAGGCTAACTAAGCGAGTTACTCCGGGGAGCAGGGCCTAGGATGGGAGGGGCTATGTAGGCCACCGTGCCCAGAAGCATGACAGTATTGGGAGTATGGCCGAGAAAATTTGGGTGACCCGCCAAGGGTTGGCGTGAGGTTGGGGTGTAGGGGAGGTGAAGCCCCACGGATGACCGCTGGGCAGACTTCCTGCCACAGAGGAACCCTGGGTGGTCGGCCCCCCCCCGGTATAACATTCAAAGTCATGGCAGGCGAGACTAGGGGAGGCCACTCCCCTGATAAACAGCTACCCACCAGCCCACAAGAGACTGTAGGGTGATCGCTACCGGCCACCTGGACCAAGGCCGCATGGGACCAGATGTTCGAAGCCAGGCAGCCACACACTTCAATCCAGAAAAAGACAGCAGACCTAATATATATTAAAGGCGTGTCTATAAATAAACCTTTCACTGGTTTACCAGTAAATGAAGGCAACCTGGGAAACAGAATGGTGGACCTTGTCTGGAGCAGAGTTTCACAACCAAATACCTTCAACCAAATAAGTTTCATAATTTCATAGTAGCTAGGGTCAGGAGGGACCTGAACAGATCATCTAGCCTGACCCCCTGCCACAGGCAGGGATGAATGCTGGGTTCACAAGACCCAAGACAGGTGATCATCCAACCTCCTCTTGAATTTGCCCAAGGTAGGGGCGAGGACCACTTCCCTGGGAAGTTGGTTCCAGATTTTGGCCACCCTAACTAAAATATTTCCTTCTGATCCCTAACTTAAACCTATTCTCCATCAGGTTATGACCATTGTTCCTTGTCACCCCAGGTGGTGCTGGGGAGAAAAGGGCTCTACCTATTTGCTGTTGATCTCCCCTGATGAGTTTGTAGGCAGCCACCAGGTCCCCCCTCAGCCTCCTCTTGCTGAGG